CGAAAATTTGAGTTACTGGTGCCAACAGAGGCTCAGGTTGAACATGGCGTGGTCGTAAGGAAAAACCTGGAGCAGGGAATTGTCAAAGCCTTTCCAGGGACTGTGAAAGAAGCAGCGTACTAACCGGTTGCTCGATTCTGACCTCATGTATAGTGTCAAGAAAAAGGCGTTCCGTTTCGCCGGGACGAAGTTCCATACTCACATCAGCCGAGCTTAACCACACATATCGATATGAAAGGTTGAAGTTCAGAGACCAAGGAAAGCTTATTTCAGAGGCCAAGGAAAGCTTATTTCAGATTGAGACAAATATATTAGTAACCATTTGGGAGACCAAGGAAAGCTTATTTCAGAGGCCAAGGAAAGCTTATTTCAGATTGAGACAAATATATTAGTAACCATTTGGGAAATTGGAATGTGCGTTTCGAGAATTCGAAGTATGTACTTACTTACGGTCATGATGACGTCGACCATCTTTACACTTACATACTTTCATTCATACATGCCACAACTTTCGAATTTCTCCGCCGCTGATCATGACGGCCCGTCCGTCAGAGTTCTCTGCCGTCGCCGCCTCAATAACGCTTCAAGCCACACGGTCAGCAGACTTGAATCTCACCTATAAAGTCTATCGTATGCCCATGGCTGTCGTCCAGTATACTGTCTTGTATTGCACATGCACATCCTTGCCTTTACCGGAAGCACGCTGATCGCACTGCTCGGCGTTGCCAACTGTCTCTGGACGTTGGCAATCTCCCAAGCTAACTCATTCCTTGCGCCAAGTGATACCTTTATCAATTCTACTGGATTGACAGACAAAGTCGGATGGGACCCCTACTCATTCTATATTCACGGACAACGTATATTTTTGCAATCAGGCGAATTTCATACATGGCGACTTCCTGTTCCCGCGCTCTGGAAAGATATCACCCAAAAAGCGAAAGCGGCTGGCTTCAATGCACTCTCTATTTATGTTCACTGGCATCTCCTAAATCCCAAAAAGGGCGTTGTGGATCTGACGGGCATCAATGAGCTACAGCCGCTGTTCGATGCCGCTAAAGAGGCTGGCCTGTTCATAATTGCACGGCCTGGGCCCTACATCAAGTGAGATTCCTTTCTGAGGATATGTGCATAGGATGAGATGAGATTTTGATGTCAGACATTAATAGTGCAGAAACCACTACCGGTGGCCTCCCCGGGCATGTTACGACAGTTCCTGGAGATCCATTTTGGAATCCCTACAATGGAGAGATGCGAAGTAATGACACGTTTTACCACGATGCCTGGCAAGATTACGTGCGTCTTCTTTTGTCCAGTGGTAAGACTGATGATCCTTAACTCGCGACGATTACAGTGGAATGCTGTCATTCCAGTAATCGCAAAAAACCAGATCACTAACGGTGGACCTGTTATCATGGTCCAGATTGAAAACGAGTACTATAATGGCCGTGAGTATAAGCTTTTGGATAGTCGCTGAATACATCGAACTGACTGCTCGTTATCACAGCTGGTCAAAATGAATATGTTGCACAGCTTCGTCAGAGAGCTTTGGATCTAGGCATAGTGAGTGCTTGTAATTCTCGACTGGCATTCAATTCTCCTACGGAATCTCAGGAAGTGCCCACCATGGTTAATGATCCCGGCCAGTTCCAGAATTTGGTAGACTCCGCAGACATATACGGTATCGATGCTTATCCAGTTAGTGCGTACAATGACCAAAAAAGATTTTGATTCAGGCTGAATAGCTGTTATCCAGGCTTTAACTGTTCGGATCCCGCAGTATGGAGAGATATTCCGACCACCTGGAGATCATACCATGAGTCGGTCACTCCAGAGATACCTTTCATGTTTCCTGAGTATGTGATTCATCTCCGGGGCTTACAACTTGTCAGATGTTGATTAATTGATACATAGGTTTCAAGGCGGTTCTTATGATCCTTGGGGATCAAAGGGTGGCTATGCTGCATGCCGAGAGTTGACAAACCCAAAGTGAGTCTTTTCTGAGTCTTCAAATTTCACAGTTTAGCACAAATGTTTCCATAGCTTCCAACGTGTTTACTATTTCGCTCTATGGGCTAATGGAGTTACCGCGGTAGATAGTCGCCTTTGAAAGATTGGCATGTTTTAATCATTCATCTAGGTCAATTTTTATATGTTTTATGTGAGCTGCTACCTAAAAAAAAAAAATGTTGACAGGAATTCATTCACTGAGTTTGTATATAGGGTGGCACCTCGTGGGCGCAACTTCCATATACGAGTGCGTCAATGAACCGATCATATTGCACTTCAAATTGTTAAACTAAATTCTTCTAGACGCTTATACATCCTATGTAAGACTCGAGTCCATTGGAGGATCTTTTTTCAATACAGTTCGTAGGATTACGGTGCAGCCGTAGCAGAGAACAGAGAGCTATCTGCCAAGTTTGGCGAGCTCAAGTTGCAATCCCTCTTCCTTCGAACGTTCAAAGACATCTACAAAACCGATTACAAAGGTGTGTTTCAAATGTTCAGCTTACTGGCAACTGACTTATCTCTGCCTTTCGCGTCTACCAGGAGAGGACAATACGACTTTTGTAGGGGTTACTACGACTCATTTGCAAAATCCAGACACAGGGGCTTCGTTCTACATCACCAGACATATCAAGACGAGTAATCCGCGAGTAAACCTAATAACTTCAGTGCAGGATGACTCTTATGCCAGGGTAATAGTGCGTCTGTTCCTCTAAGGCTCACAGTTGGTTCGGCCAACAAAACTATTCCACAACTCGGCGGGAACTCTACATTGCTTGGTCGTGATTCTTTCATTATCAGCACCGATCTGGTCTTTGGATCGTCCAAGCTGCTCTACTCGACTGCAATGCTTCTGTCGACATTTCAGCTCGATGGGAATGATGCTCTCATTGTTTATGGCAATATAGGCTTGGTGTACGAGGTCTCTTTTCAGTTGGAAGAAGAACCAACGATCATAACTTCGGGCGTGACTCAGGTCACTACCAAGTATTTCGACGTGTGTATTGCTGTAGTCCTTTGAATGGATGATCCACTGACTGGCCTTAGAATGAGAAATCTCTCGTGGTCAATCTCATTGTGTTCCAAGGCATCACAACCATTGAACTTGGAACCTCACATAAAACTATCGTTCTTCTCGTTGCTGACTACAGCACTGCAACTAATCTCTGGATGCCCACGATTGCTGGAAACGGGGATCTTGCTGAATACATCGACGTTGAGGCTTCTGCTCCCTTGCTTGTGAGAGGACCGTACCTCGTTAGGACAGCTGCACTCTCGCATAACGTCCTTGCATTGACGGGGGATCTGAACACAGAAGAGGCAAGCACGGTCGTTACAGTCTACGGACCCAGTACTATTTCCTCGATTTCATGGAATGGAAAAACGCTGGGACGGATTAATAAGGTTGCTCGGGGTACGTGGGAAGTTGAGATTGGGACGAGTGGTGCAAGCGTCGAGATTCCAGATTTGATGGAGGCGGAGTGGAGGTATAAGGATTCGTTGCCTGAGATTGGGGCTGGGTTTGAGGATGAGAGTCTTGTGATTGCGGATCATACGACAACGACGAATACGTTCCCGCCGTATTATGGGGGCCCGTGGATTTTGTATGCGGACGATTATGGGTTCCATGTGGGTATATTCTCTTGTCTCGGTGAATGAGATGTTGATCCTGGGGCTATCGAGGCTGGTAACCTCCTGTGGCGCGGGACGTTCCAACACAATGATTCTCTTCCCCTGCCTACGGCGGTCAACATAAGCGTTTCTGGCGGGATACACTTTGCGGCGTCGGCGTGGCTCAATGAACATTTCCTGGGATCGTCAGATACACTACTTGCGACCAACAATGAGTCGTGGCCTGTGACGGAGGATATGCTTATGGATGGTGAAAACCATGTTACTGTCTTGCAAGAGTACGTAAAGCATTTGGATTGGATAGACTGAGGTACTGATGGTGGTCGGTGTAAAAGCCACATGGGCGGGAATCTTGCAGGTCAAATTGTATGTTGTACACCTGGAGGAAGACAGAGAGATTTGCAGCAGCCTCGAGGGTTGCAGGTGTGTTTCTTTCTGTATGTAGGATATTGTGCAAGGCATTTGATTTTCGTTTGCAGGGGTATTATCTCGTGGGCCGATCCGAGGATGCACTTTATAAAGTGGAAGTTGGCAGGGAATTATGGAGGGGAGGATTTCCCGGATAAGACGCGTAAGATCTTGAATGAAGGTGCGGTTGTGGGGATTGACCTGTGATTTTCGGTGCTGAGGCCTTTTTGTGATAGGTGGACTGTATGCTGAAGTATGTTGAGATGCTCGTTGCTGAGGCGATTAATAGGCTGACGACTCTGCAGAGAAAGGGGTGGCATTTACCCGGGTTTGATGATTCGGGGTGGGAGCTAAGGACACCGTTCCAAGGACTCGATAAACCAGGGGTATGTTGACTGGAGTAGATGACGTTCAAATCATTTGCTGAATGCACAAGGTTGGATTTTTCCGGACGACGTTCAACCTCGACCTACCAATGAATCACGATATCCCTCTTTCGATCGTGTTTGACGATTTGCCGGGACATTATCGGGGTGCGTACATTTGTCGTACTCCCTCAGCCTAGCCTGTCCTGACGTCTGATTATCAAAGCGCAACTATACATCAATGGCTGGCAAATGGGAAAACGTGTTGCGAACATCGGTCCACAGGTCTCCTTTGTGGTGCAGCAGGGAATCTTGAACTATGAAGGAGAGAATGTGATTGGGGTGAGTTTGTGGGGACTTGGAGAGGATGAGGATGATTTGAGGATACCGAGTTTGACAATTGTAAGAGGAGGCGGGGTGTATGAGGGCGGTGTGGGAGATGTGGGTGTGGAGTGGTGGGAAGGGGCGGGGTGGGAGGAGTTGAGAGGGTGATATAGAGTGAAGAGTTTTTCAATAGCAGTGGACCAATGTCATTGAGCGGATTTTAGAAATGTGATGGCGGGGAATGTGGCGGAAAACAAAAGATGATGAGTCGACCCAGGCTCGAACTGAGGACCTTCTGTGAGATTTAATGTAAGACAGATGCGATAACCAACTACGCCATCGACCCTTGTTGAGAGTTGCGTTGTTGAATTTTGCGTGGAGAGGATAGAGTTGGTAGTGGCCTAAAAAGAACGTAATGCCTCTCTCTATCTGAGTCGGTTTGAACTGAGGACCTTCTGTGTGTTAGACAGATGCGATAACCAACTACGCCATCGACCCTTGAATGAGAATGGGTGACTACGGGGTCCAGGTCTGCGGGCAGAGATGGGGGTGCGGGAACAACGATGAATTGGAGAATACAAAAGACATCTATTGTAGCTAAATGCGGACGAGAACGCCCATGTAGAGGAACTGGGAGATGGCCTCGAGGAAGAGAAAGATGACACGACGGCGGCGGGCAGCGGGGGGGACGGTTGCTGTGCTTGTTGGGTTTGGGCTTGAGACGAGCTGGGCGGATGGGTCGGGGAGGACGAGGGAGCGGAGGGAGCGGAGCTGGGAGGGGAAGAGGGGTAGGGGAGGGAAGGAGAGAGGGGGAGGGGAGGGAACGTACGAGGAAAAAGGCGTTGGCGAGAAAGGCGTAGATAAAGAGGAGGGTGTTGATGAGGGGCGCACGGATGAGGAAGGATGGGATCAGGACGAATATTACGCTGTGGGGGAGGTGAGCGAGTGAAGGGACAAGACGGAGGAGGACAGGGACGGACCCGACGAATTTGTAGCCGCCGTATGCGACAATGTCGACGACAGAGCCCGAGTCGGGGACGCTGAGAAAGTAGCAGGCGAGCTTGACAAAGGCAAAGTCGAGGACGAGGACTGCGATGCCGCGAGAGAGAGCGTCGCCGAGGATTTTGGTGTGGAACTGCTTGGAGATGCCGGCGTAGAGGGCGCAGAGGAGGATGTATGTGACGAGGGCCATGGAGGGGATGTACAGGTCCGGGCTGTTGATGTCTTCGCGCGGACTCGCCCACGATGCCGCGTGGCCAGACTCGGGGCGCCGGACGCGGCGACGCCAGGCGCTGGGCTTCTGCAGCCACGGGAAGAGGACGAGACGGAGCTTGTTGATGACATACGAGTTGGACACGTTGAAGTGGTGCTTCAGCGACGTCAACGTGCCAAAGTTTCGCTGCACATACTCGTGGCCCGCCGCAACCGCGCTCTGCCCCAGCTGCATCCCGAACTGCGCCGTCGCGTCGTTCATGCCCCACCCAGAAAAGTCCCCCCCAGCCCCATGCTGCACCGCGGGCACAGCGTAGGCCCCAACGTGGTACCCGTGCTGCGCCGCCGTCGACGAGAAGCGCTGGTAGCCATCGGGGGACGCGGGCGCAGACGGCGCCTCGGGGATGTATGCGGGATGCGTCGGCACTGGATGCCTCAGCGGCGGCGGCGAATGCGACATGACAAAAGAGAGTTTAGGTTTGGCCCCATCACGCAAAAATGGTATCTATCTGTCTTTTATCTTATCCACCTCCAAATATCCGTCATGGTGCTTTATTGAATCCGCAAAAGAAGCTTTCATACAACTGATTCTCCCCTTAGCTACGCTCCAGCCACGTTTCTCCACCAAACTTTTATACGAACCACTTTTCGTCGATCTATACAGCAACACATCCCACCTTTTACCACTCTGGGCTCTGACCAAATGATGATGGTCGACACTCGAACAGGTTTCCGTCATTCCTTTCCATGGCAAATTTTGCCCGCCCACTCTATGTCTGTCTACTCTTTCTTCACAGATCGTTTGATGCTCTTACCCTCTGACGACTCCAGCCACTATCTATCCACCGGTGTAACATTGGCCCTATCCTTTGGCAATTCAAAAACACCTCCAAATACTCTTTTTGATATCATGGATCCAATCAACCTTGGGATCCTGGCTCCAGGGGATCCTCCGCATCGTATGCAGCAGAAACTGACCATAATAGATTGGCCAGACCAGATGTGGTATCTGTTCCGTCACAGTTCACGTCATTCGTCGAGGATTTTTTTTTTTCGTCATTCTTTGATTTCGAGACAAGGAGTGGTCTCAGGGGTCACTTTGAATGTCGGATTGAAAGATCAAGAAGCTGAACAAAGTTGCCCTCCGAGTTGTCGTAGGTAGAATGGCGCGGGTGCGTTGACGGTAACAATATATATATATATCATTAGTCTCGCCAATGCTTTTTCAACTCGCAATAGTTCTACGTTTAGTATATAATATGTACCCGTCAGCGTCACGTGCACAGCCCAGCCTGCAAGTTCAAAAAGTCGCGTCAGGGCTTGGCTCTCTTCCCTTGCAATGGCTGCTGTCCGCACTACAAACTATCCTGCCATCAAGAACGCGCCCCTCGTCGGCCTCGCAGAGGGCAATGCCGCCTTTAACAATACTCACCTCGCCGTCGCCATCCTCCTCGTCCCCTACTTCCTCAAGTCCTTCCTCCACGCTGGCTTCAAGACCTACCTCTTTCTCCTCCTTTTGACCGCAGTGCCCACTGCCGTCGCATACTGGTCACTCGTTAGCATGTATGGCTCCCGCAAAAACGAAAAAGTCGTTCTCCCAGGCAACGACATTGAACAGTACATCACCATCAACGACCCCGAGCTCAAGCAGTTCTACAATGGCAAAAATAAGATCCCCATGCAGGTCTTTCATGATGCGTACTTTGACGGAAAAATCGATTTCAACGGTCCGTGACCCATCCATACCCTTTGTCTCCCCATCTGACACGTCAACAGGCGACGTCCTGGACATTCTCGAGCAGCGCCATGACTGGGCACGCTTCAACTTTACTCTCCAACTCTTCAAATACGTCTTTACCGTCCTCATTCCCGACGTCATCTCCCATAACCGCGAGCAGGACCAGGACCAGGTCCGCGGCCACTACGATCGTCAGTCTATCTAGCCCCGCTTGCTTTTATTATACTCAATCCTTTCTAGGTGGAGATGACTTTTACGAATGGTTCTTGGGCCCGAGGATGATTTACACCTCGGGCGTGTGTACCGACAATACCGTCGAACAGTCCCTCGAGACCCTCCAGGACAACAAGCTCGCCATTGTCTGCGAGAAACTCGATTTGAAGCCTACTGACCGGTGCGTGGTGTCTTCCCTAACCCCTACTCTTGTCTCTGACATTGTTTTCTAGACTCCTCGACATTGGTTGTGGATGGGGCACCCTCGTCACCTATGCTGCCAAAAACTATGACTGCGACGCCACCGGGTGCACGCTCTCTGTCAACCAGGCCGCGTTTGGCACAGAACGTATCAGGAACAACGGCGTCTCGGCGGACAAGGCAAGGATCCTCTGCTCCGACTACCGTGACCTCCCCGTCGGCAAGGGCGCCTACACCAAGATTGTCTCGCTTGAGATGGCAGAGGTTCGTGCCTACTCGGCTCACTGGCTCTGGATCCTGACGCGTGAATATATATAGCACGTCGGTATCCGCCGCTATTCCCAGTTCCTCAGCCAGGTCTACGATCTCCTCGACGACGACGGCATATTTGTCTTCCAAGTCGCCGGTATCCGGCCCCCGTGGCAGTTCGAGGATCTCATCTGGGGTCTCTTCATGAACAAGTACGTTTTCCCCGGCGCTGATGCATCGTGCTCCCTTGGTTGGGTCGTCGGCAAGGTACGTCCCCCTCTCTCCGTGTCCCCAACCACCAATTCTCACCTCTGCCCCGCAGCTCGAAGGCGCCGGCTTTGAAATAAAAAACATTGACGTCCTCGGCGTGCACTACTCGGCTACGATCTATCAGTGGTACAAGAACTGGGTGTCGAACAAGGAAAAGGTCCTCGCCAAGTATGGAGACAGGTGGTACAGAGTCTGGGTCTTTTTCCTTGCGTATTCGGTTATTACGAGCAGGCAGGGCGGCGCGTCGGTGTTCCAGATCACGATGCATAAAAATTTGAACGCGTTTCATAGGATTGAGGGCGTGCGGAAGCATGCGAGTATTCATGTTACCCCGGAAAAGGTCCCGGTGGAGGTTGTTTAGGGGTACAGGTTGTGTATATACTAAACGTAGAACTATTGCTCATCTTGGAGGCTTTTGATACAAGAGTCAAAAGCATTGGCGAGGCTAATGATAGAGTTCAAGTTACCCGCGCCTTCTCTATATCTTTTGCACCACAAGCTCGGACAAAGTTAGTTCCATCAAATTGTTGATCTTCAGGGAAAGTAGGTGGTCTGCTATTAGACAGGTTGTTCGACATGATGTGTATTGAATAGTGGCAGTAATCAAGGTAAAACAAATTTGAGTTGTCAGGCAGTTGTGTTATGATGTACGGATTTTGTGGCAGGAACAAGCTGAAAATAAAAAAAATAATTGTCCCATCTTTTCCATGCAAAACCCGAAAGTAATCTAAGCGAAC